CCTTCCCTGCATTCCTGGGAACAAATGTGAGACAAGAGAAGTGGGAAGAAATGCTCTGGGATATGTGCTTCTGGGCAGTGAAGGTATGCCTTGACTTGTGCAGCAATGTTTGCTCCTGGACTACGGTGTAAGCGAAGGCAGCAGGAGAGGGAGCTGGGCACATTTACCCTTTGAAATATCTGTGTTTAGTTGCTTCCTGAATTGCACAGGAATACATGGTGTTTCCATGAGCCCTCCTGCCCTTTCATTGCCAAATGCTGCAGCAGAAATGAGTGCCACAGTGAGGTTCCCTAAGGGCAGAGGCATGTGGAGCAGGAAGCCCTTGCTCTCTCTGGCATCAGGAGTTACTTTGTGCCTAACTGAATTTGAGGCAATTGTGGCAGGTTTCAGGCTGGTCCCCCCCAAGGATAGACTGGGGAGAGGGAGAAGAAACTAGATACTGCCTGCAACCAGAGCTACACACACACAGGAGACAGGAAGCACTGACACATTTAGTGAAGGTCCCAACTCTTCCCTCTTGACCAAACTAAGACCCTGTCATTAAAATGCACCCAGGCCTCACACCCAGGACCAGATGAGCTCCTTGGGTTCCTGTTTCGAGGTGGTGTAGGTTGGGATGAGACAGGTTCTGGAGGAAGCTCCAGAGTTCTGGACACATGAGAGGCCATAGGGTGGAGGTGGTGTTGACAACTTAGCAATGCTGGATTGATGCTGGAATGAGGGTGCCTGATGTGCTGGCTGTTTGCACAGCCTCACGTGATGCCCAAGAAACAGGATGAAGCCATTGTGAGAGCGGGAATTAAGGAGAGGGACCTCAGTCCTGAGATTAGGCTGAGGAGGCAGCAGGGCAGAGATAATGGGGAGAAAGACAGCTCCACTGAGGGCCCAGGTATCAGCAGACAGATGTAAGGCTGCCCGGAGCTGAGGACAGGGAAAACGTTTCTGTAATTTGGGTGCCTCCCACAGACAAACGAGAAGGTTTTGATGGGCAGCTTTGTCTGCCTTAGGAGTCCAGGGGTCCCACCAGCCTGGCCTTGCTGGTAAAAGGGCACCACTTGGGAAGGAGAGAGGAAAGGGCAACTCCTGGCTAGCAGGAGAGAAGGACCGTGGCCTCGTCAGGAACAAGCTAGGAGAAGGGAGCAGACACACATACAGGCTGTGCCAACCCTTGGGCTGCAGTGACACTCACTTGGGACATACCTGCTCCTCGTGGGCCACGATGCTTGCCCCACGCAGGCGCCCAGCTCCCACCCCGCGGCCCCAGTGGGCTCCGCCACTCGCCATGGGGCTGCAAGGCCGGGCGGGACGTGGGGCAAGAGGATGCTTTGGGGCACAGGGTGCCTGGGCGCTCCGGGGCGCAGCGGGGCAGGGCGGCCCGAGGCGGCGGGCCCTTTAAGTGCGGCGGCGGCGGCACAATGGCCATTATCACTTTAGCTTTGGAAGTGACCCCCGGCCCGCTCCGCTTTCATCTGGGCCGGGGCCGCGGGGATGGCCCGCTTCCTGCCGGGGGAGGGGAGGGCGGGGGCCGGCGGGGAGGGGAGGGGCGGCCCGGGTCGGCCCGGCCCGGCCCGGCGCCGCACGCGGCCGGCCGCTCCCGGGGGTCACTGCGGGGCTGGCACCGGGGCGGCCGCGGCTCCGCGCCGCTTCCTGCCGCCGCCCTTAAAGGTGCGGGGCGGCGCAGGGTGCGGGCTGGGCGTGACTTGACCCGCGGAGTCAGGTGAGTGCGGAGCCGTGCTGGGCGCCGTCGGGTCCGCGGCTCCTCGCCTCCTCGCTATCCCTTTCAAAGCCGCGGGCTGTCCCGCTCTGGCGGCACCATCCCGGGGCGGGAGGGCTTCCCATCCCGTTGTGCCCTCGGTCCCCGCTCGGCAGCTACCCGGGCACCGGCGGCCTCTCCCCCGGCCCCGGGCTGTGTGTCCCTTTGTCTCCTGGCGAGGGGAGCGGCTGCCTGTGCTCCCACCCGGGGTGCGGGGCCGTCCCCGTCGCGGGGCAGCCGCCCGGAGCCACCTCCGCCGCCTTCGGGAGAGGCGTGAGCAGCCGCGGTGCCTGGGGCTGGGGGTGTCTGTCAGGCGCCGCCCGCACCCGGGCGCTCAGTGCCCCCGCCCGAGGGGCGGACGAAGCCGGGCTTGGCTGCAGCGCTTCGGCCTAGGTTAAGGTGGGTCTGGGGTTTTTCCCTCTCCCGGTGAGCGACGCCCCATTTGTTAACTTCGGTGGATATGTCAGCGTTGGCCGATGGAGCAGGCATTCTGCTGCCTTTGATACTTACTTCTGGAGCTCCTCCGGTGATATTTCTAGCCTAGACAACTGCTGGAGGCTACCACTTCTGTGCTCCTGCTACGGTCCCCGTGGTTCAAATATCCTCCTCTCAAATAAGAGCCTGTACCGCTGGGGTAGTGTGAACCCGCAGCTGGGGCTGGGAAGTGAGCCACTTTACCCAGGTGGGCTTGGGTACATGAATACCCCTGCTCCTCTGGGGTACATGGGGTCTTTGGCAGTTGGGGCTGAAGTCTCCTGGATTCCTGCTGGTGGGAGCATTTCTGGGACTGGCTGGGGGAACTTGCACTACTGGATGCCACCAGCCCATCAGTTTAGGTGAGGGAACGTGACCTGCAGCTGTTTCCTTATCTGTTACAATGCAAAAGCGGCCAGGTTAGGTAAAACCTTTATCAGCAGCAAAAAGCTCCCTTGGTTACTTCTTGGTGCTGAGGTGGTTTAGTGAACACTTGTCTGTCGTGTTCAGCATGCTTCCCTGGGGCTGTACAGGGAGAAGTGTTCCCTTTGCATCAGGTCCTCTATGCTGAGAGCTGCTGGATTTGATCTGGCCATGAACCAAGCCCCCCAGCTTGTCTGACTTCTGATTTAGCCAAGCCTCTCTCCACCTGACCCAGGAGTTCCCTGCTGCTGATTCAGCTGTGGGTTTTACCTTAGGATTGCTCTGGGAAGCAAGAGCTGACAGTGACATTGAGGCTGTGGATTTATTGCTGAAGAAAAGGATTAATGGCCTTTAAGCTGTGCCTCCAGCTCTCCCTCTCTCTATCTCTCTCAGTCTATAAGGGGATGGGAAATGCCTACTAGGACAGAAATACCAAGGTTGCTGCTGGTGGTCTCTAGTCTATGTCAGCTATGTCCTAACCTCCTTCTGGGCGAAAAACGTCTGTCTTGCCTTTCTTGGCTCTTCTGGTGGGATAGTGCTCAGAGAACTTGGCTGCTGCAAGGGGAGGTGGCTGGCTGGCTCCTAAAGCATTTGACAGGCCACAGAGAGGGAGAACTTGGGCTCTGTCAGCCCTATAGTTGTCCTGAGTTGTGCCTTTGTTTCAGCTCCTCAAGCACATGTCACTCAACATAGGCTTAGTCAAAATTTCTATAAACTACTGTAAATTTCTGCAGCCTTCTAGGAAAATAGCAGTGCAGATCTGATCTGAAATGACAATTCCATGCCTTCTCAGACCAGGATTTTAAGACAGGTGTGTTTTCCCTGCTTCACAGCTGTGTGCATTTGCCTGTGTTTGTCTCTAGTAACTGATGCCCTACAGCTGTGGGAGCAGCTGTAAGAATGTTCTGGCCTCTAACATGCAGGAGATTGTGGAGAAGTTTGGAGCAGGGGAAGGGATGCAATTGGTGACTACCTGTGATCTGATTAAAGGCAAGTGGCAGCAGCAGCACGGAGGCTCCTTGTCATGATGAACTTGTATGTGTCAATGTGGTTCTGTGGCACCTCATGTGGTTTGTTCATGGCCAGGGGCCATAGATGTTACAGCACTAATAATCATATCTGCAGCAGGGCTGAAAATTGCGAGAGTTGTGGCTGGACATCTGCTTTATTATAGAGCTGCTGCTTTTCCTGCTTCTGCTGTTCCTTGTGTACCCACAGAGTTGTGAGTGCACAGTAGTACCTGTGAAGTGTTGAGAGGTGAGCTCTAGCTGGCCTGTGAACTGAGCAGGCTGCAAAGTAATGTCATACGTATCGGGCATGATATAAGAATGAAGCTTAGGAGAAAATGGAGATTTGGCTTCTTGAGTGAGGTGTTGTCCCTGGGAGAAAACTGGCCCAAAAAGGGGGAGAGTAGGCTGGCTGGGCAGAGGCCTGAGCTGTCTGACTGTGAAAGGATGCTGAAGATGGCTGCACTGATGAAGCTGGAGCTAAGAACCATGCAGCCATCATGAAAGTCCCTGGAGTGGTGGGGACAGAACCACGTAGGAATCCAAAAGCTGAACAAAGCTTTGGATTCCTATGTGGAATCCAGTAGAAATACAAAGCTTTGACGCTTTGTATTTCATGAGTGGGAACTGGCATGCAGAGGGAGGTAGGACAGGACTGGGACCGGCTCAGGCAGGGAGGAGCTTACACTCTGTCTGTACCTTTGGGTTGCCTCCTGCCTGGTAGCTTGTCTAGAAGCCCTCCTTTTGTGCCTTCTCCTTAGCTGGTGGTGTGTGTTGGCTGAGTGGCAAGTGACATCTAGCGTCGGCTCAGGTAGCAGTAGCTGCGGCTTGGGCTGGCTCTGTCACTTCCATCCGAGGTTCTGTGGCAGTTTTTGGTGCATGCAGTGGGTGCAGCTGCAGTGCCCTGCTCTGAGGAAGAAGGCAAGCTCCTTCTTAACAGTAAGCAAGTAAAATGGAAATGATGGAACCACTAGAGGGAGAGGTGGGTGTAGGGGTAATGCCAGGCCAAAACCAGGTATGCAGTGGTAGGAGGTGACCTGGCTTCTGACCCCATGGGTGCAGTCACTCCTTAGTTTTGTGTAGACAAGTGGAGGCTGTGTACCATATGTGCTGCCCACAGGAGGTCACTGGTGAGCCCATGTTCCACTCCCTCACCAGGTCTGCCTGGTGAGGATCAGGGCTACCTCCTTTGTCCTTGGAATGTGCATGGTGGCCTTTCCTCTACCTTCTTCCCTCATCCTGTCCTTTGGGCAGGAGCTGGACTTGGAGGTCAGGTCACTGCCAGTCTGGAGTGTGCACTGTCTTCATGTCCTGTGATTTTTTTATTTTTGCCATCCTTCAGGATGATCCAGAGGCACCAGCTGGTGCAGTCTGTGCTGCAGGAGCTCCAGGAAGCCACCGAATGCTTTGGTCTGGAGGGTCTCACCAGTGCTGCGCTGGAGGCAGAGAGGACCTTGTCATCTTTCTCCCTACCTGGCTATTGTGGAAGTCAGTTTCAAGAGGAGCTGGAGGTTGACCGGGTAGCAAGGAGCCTCTACCCTGAGGATGCCCCAAGTAACATGCTGCCCCTTGTTTGCAAGGGTGAGGGAAACCGCCTCTTTGAGGCTGCTAGTGTGCTGCTCTGGGGCAACCCCAGCCTCAGCCTGGAGCTGCAGGTGCGTACTGTGGTGGAGATGCTGCTGCACAAACAATACTACTTAAATGGCATGATTGACTCCAAAGTGATGCTGCAGGCTGCCCGCTACTCCCTCTGCACTGAGGAGACCCCAGAGATGACCAGTCTTCCCATGGCTATCCTGGAAGCCATCTTTGATGCTGATATTAAAGCTACCTGTTTTCCTGGTACCTTTGCCAACATGTGGCATGTCTATGCTCTTGCCTCAGTACTGCAGTGTAACATCTACTCCATATATCCCATGAGCAACCTGAAGATACGACCCTATTTTAACCGGCTCATCCGGCCCAGGAAGTGTGGCCCACGAACCTCCACGCTACACATCATGTGGTCAGGACAACAGCTCTCCCGGCAGGTCTTCAAAGCGCAGTACTTTGTGGCTGTGGTTGGCCTGGAGGAGCTGGAACCCACAATACCTTCACCAGAGCCTCCTGTCCAGCCCATGAAGACCCTTGAGCTGCTGAACAGTGACCCCCAGTTGACCTACTCCAACCTGCGTGACCGCTACAGCATCACCAAGAGCACCTTCTACCGCTGGAAGCGCCAGTCTCGTGAACACCGGCAGAAAGCGGCTGCCAGGTTTGCAGCTAAACACTTCCTCCAGTCCTGCTTTCAGGAGGGCAATGTAATCCCCCTCCAGCACTTCCGACAAATGTTTCCAGAAATCTCACGATCCACATACTATGCATGGAAGCACGAGATGCAGAGCATGGTCAACGGGGATACCTCTGCTCTGTCTGAGGCCCACAGGTTGCAGGAACTTCCCAGGGTTGTCCCAAAAAAGGCTGATGTGAATGAGCCAGCAAATCCACAAGGGAGCTTAAAATCCTCAAGTCCTTCCCCAGATCCCATTCAAGCAGGAATCTTTATGCAAGGAGCCAAATCCTACCTGGAGAAATGCATTTCCATGAACACTCTGGTGCCTTACAGATGCTTCAAACGTAGCTTCCCAGGCATCTCCAGGTCCACTTACTATAACTGGCGAAGAAAAGCAATCAAGGAGAACCCCAACTTCAAACACCCCCAGTCACCCTTGGATAACCAGAAAACTCTAGCTATAGGAAAGCCATTCCTGCAATTGAAGCCAAGCAGCGTGCCTGTTAAGAAGAGACGGAATGGAGACAGGCCAGCATCCAGGAGTCTCCTGCAGCTCCATCCTTCTCTCTGCTGGAGAAAGCAGCTGCGAGATGTGGCCAGGAGGCAGGTCCAGCAATGGCAGCTGCCGTTCTGCAAGTACCGCCTGCGCTATCCATCTCTCTCCTCCACAGCCTACTGGTTTTGGAAGGGCAGTGGCCAAACCACTTGGCAGCATCGCCTGCCCTGGAGTAGCTCCAGCGTGCCATTGAACCGTGTGGCTTCCCTGGCACCTCCAAGAGCAGAGCCAGGCCTCAAATCACAGTGCCATTTGGAAGTAGCCACCAAGCACATAGATAAGCCAGTGCCTGCCATGCCGTGCAACACCACCATTTCAGGCTATGCCATGTCGGAGAGAGCCAACAGCCGGATGTTTGTGATGGATGTGATCGCCACGGCCCAATTCAAGGCACAGGCCAAGCTGTTCCTGCAGCAGCGCTTTGAGTCGAAGACCTTCCCAACCTACAAGGAGTTCAGTGCCCGCTTCCCACTCACGGCCCGTTCCACCTATTACATGTGGAAGCGTGCCCTGCACGATGGGCTAACATTGGTGGATGCCTGAGCTGGCTACAGCTCCTCTGTTGATGTGCCCTTTGGCTCTCTGGGGCAGTGCCCAGGTTGGGGCCCTCGCTAATTTTTGTTCTGGTTTGATTTTGTTTTGTTCCTAGTCTCTGGCTTTCTTTTTTTGTGTGGTTCAATCAGGTATGGAAGCATCCTCACAGTGCCTATTCCCAGAGGCTAGAGGAGTGGAAGGAGAAGGTATTGAGTATCCCAAGGGAGAGGGGCCAGGTAATTTTCCTTTCTTTGTGTTCAGAGGATGAGCACGGGAGGTAGTACTGTGCCATGTCATGGAATTGCTGCTGGGACTCATGAGATGAAGGATGTGAAAGTCTCTCTGCCCCAGGCAGTTGCTTGAACGAGTAATGTGGATGTGCAGGATGAGCATGGAGATGCCTAGCATCTCATCAGTGAGCAGAGTAGTACTGGCTCAGCTGTAGGTGAGGAGAGGTTTGGGGAGTGCTCAGGTTTGTGTAAGAAGCATCTTTGGACTTTTCCCAGCTAAGGAGAATTAAAGCTTAACTTGGGATAAGTGAAGCTCTGGCTTTTAATACCAGCCTCTGGCTGCCCTGAGATTTCCTAGATGGAGCAGAGGCTGGTAGATGAGGGAACTTGTGTGTGTCCTCATTGTAATCTGTATGCTGGGAATGCTAAGCTAGGAGTCAGTGTCTTTTGCAGGCTCTGGAGAAACTGTCCCTGGCCTTTCAGGTCTTGTAGCAATAACCTTTCACACAAACCTTTATTCTCTCAGCTGGCAGCTACCTTACTTTTATAGGGTCTCTCTTCCCAGATGTCTAGGAGAATGCAGAGAGACTGTAACTTGTGTGCCCAGTGTCCCTGCTTCCTCTGTGCTGCGCTGCAAGCAACGTGGATACGTATTTCTCACTTGTAAGAAACCAAAGCAATAAAGACTCTTCCACTCCTAGCCCTGTGTGGTTTCTCACTCCCACTGCTTGATTTCTAGGCAAGACTTTCCCCTCCCTCTCTGCTTTCTAAAACTTTCTAATGGGCGGGGAGAGACTGTGCATGCCTCAATCTCTGCTCCTGAGAAGGTCCTCTTCTGGTTCCTGGTTGGGAGTGTCTGCTGCTTGATATCTCCTCTCTGGAGGCCTGTCTGGAGCTGTGCTTTCCCTAGTTAAGAGCCTAAGGCTTGCTTTCCAGAAGAGATGCAAAGCTGGAGATAGCCCAGTGTACACAGCCTGTGTGACAGCAGGGATGCAGAGACAATGTCTGAGATGTTGGTAGTCCTGCCCTGAAGTGGTGGTGGTGTACTGGGAGGCTGAAACCACCTGTTTGTACCTTTGCCCTGTGAGTGTCTTGAGGCATAAGGCTGAGGAGGTCTTTGCCCGACTCCAAAAAGCCTCATCCCCTTAGTGTGCAAGTTCTCCTGTGGTGTCTGTGAGCATGAGTGTGCCAGACTAAGCTGTAGGATGTCTAGGGCTGGTTGGTACCACTGCTGTGGTGACAACTGCAGTACCTGGTCTTGCTTCCTAGGAAGCTGTCAGAACTCAGAGCAACCTACAGATGTGGGGGGAGAGCTTCCCAAGTTCTGCATTTACAAGGTCAGCGCCTGAGGCTTGGTCAGCAGGACTGACTCTAGTCATACTCTCAGGCCTTTGACAGTGCATTATGAGCTTTAGTTACCATGTTAAGAGGACATGCCACAACATATGTGGTGTGTCTGTCCCAAATCCATCCCCCTGTTCTGCCCCACCCCCTCCTTCCAAAATTGCTTGCAAATAACTTGTTTTTCCTTAAGGTGTCTGGAACCTGTCACTGGCTGCTGCAGCCTGGTCCTGTTCCTGATGTAGTCTGGCTTCACTCCCTATAAGCCTCCTAGGCAGAGGGGCCCTACGCTAGAAAGTTCTGCTGGACTTCTCCAGCAGCAGGCTGCAGGAGAAAGGGGTGCTCAGGGTTGTTCTGTGGTGGGGCAGCCATGTTGAACCAGGATCTGGGGCATGCCTTAATAAACCATTTAGCTCCTTGTCCTTGGTGATGGTGGGATCCCACCACTGCCCATCCACTCCAGCATGTCCTCTGTGTCCCAGAGGAGGGGTTCTGGGGCACTTTCTGTTTTGGGAAGGGAGGCGCATAAGGAGCAGAGAGCTGCCAAGTGGAGCTGTGTGCTGCTGCACAGAGCCCTGGGCTCTGTGTCAGGAAGTAATTGAAGTAATTAGCTGCCAGGGAGGACTCATCAATGAACTCCTCTAAGGGAGTGAGCTGGTAATTACTGCAGAAAGATTACCTAAGTCTCCAAACTGCTGGAGGCTGGAGATAGCTGCTTTCAGCAGCAGTGGTGGTTGCAGCAGAAGCTGTGAAAATGGATGGAAGACACCCCCACCCCATCCCGAGTGTTCCTGCCGTGCCTGAGTCAAAGGAAGCAGCAGGAAGGGTGGGTTTTCTGATAGTGGATGGTGCCAACATGAGCCCTATTTGGGGGGCCATGAGGCTGGGCAGACTGTGCCTGATGGCACGACTAGGGCATCTGTCAGCATGACACAGCACAAGGGGTGGTGGGCAGGTGGGCATCAGGAGAGCCTGGGGGAGCCTTTGTAGTGTGGCCCAGTGCTCTACAGGGTGAAGGAATGGCTTCTATTTCACATCACCCAACTCTCCTTGAACTGGGAGTGGTACTGCATCACACCTGGCCAGCTGCAGAATGAACTGCTTCTGGGTACTGGGCTCCACAGCCCTTTGCAAGACAGTTTTTAGAAGCCCTGGTGAAGAGATCTAGGTGTAATATTTTCCCTGCCCTTAGCTGGATGCCTGGGTGGGGTATGGTGAGGAAAATAATACTTATTTCCCTCCCTATGCTGTGATGGCAGCAGGCCATGTTGGATCACTGCCAGTTGGCACCACCTAAATGGTGAGTGCTTGTTTGTTACTGATGTAGTTTGTGGCTGAGCAGTTTAAATGAGAAATTGTAGCACTTGATTGGTAAATGTCATGCTGCTATCACATTGAGCTGGTGCTGGGAGATTGAGGCAGGCTCTGCTGCTCCGCATCACGCTTCCAGGCACGGGATGGTGAATATCTCCCTTTGCACCTGGGCAGTAAGATTTAGCTCAGGTGTCACCTAAACTTCTTTACAGACAGGTGCTTCTAAATACTGACCTCAGAATAGATGAAAATTAAAAGGTGACTGAAAAGCAGAAGCTGGGGAGCTGCAAAGCACATAGGGACCAGCTTTTTCTTACCTTTAGGGCTCTCCTCTGCCCTGCCACTAAGGCATCTCATTTGTGTCCATGGGATGAGTGTGGAAGGTGGGCAGTGCAGTGCAGCAGAGCCTGCCCAGGTGCTGTGGGAATAGTTTATTGAACCCAAGCAAAGCTTTGGGACATTTAGATGAGTGTTAGCTCAAGCACGGCTTTGCCTCCAGATTTTGCACAGGCAGCTTGTTTGTTGGTGCAAAGAGCAATAATGTTGGTCTTAAAAGCACATCAAGGTGGCAAAAGGGTTGCATTTCACAGGATAGCTCCTGTGCTTTCCTGGGATCATCAGAGTGGAGAAGTAGCAGCAGCAGAAAGATAGAGAAGCCAGAGCCACCATTTAAAACTGCTCACATGCTGATAAGCATAGCAGCAATTCATTATCAAGAATATCTGTGTGGGGAGGGGGGAAAAAGATGAAAAGAAAAAGAGGGAAAAACCTGATCATTTTTATCAGTCTCCTGCATAATTCCTTCCATAGGTCCAGACTACAGGCAACTAGTGCTGCCAAGCCAATTTAGTTGTTCAAACAGAATCTTTTTCCTCCTGTGTCCCAGGGGTATTTGTGGGGAATCAACTTCCTCTGTCCCAGCAGGCTATGCCAGCCACTGCCAGGTCCTGTTCCCTGTTCTACCACCTGCTCTGCCTCCTTTCCATTAGAATTCATCTCATGTGCTGTGGCTGAAAGTGTCTTCTGGAGTCCAGCTGTGGCCCATCACTGCCCTGCCATTATGCTTCATGAATATTTTTTTACTGAACTAATTACCCAAACATCAGATCTGCCTTTTTCATGTTAGAGCAATGGCTCAGGCCATTTCCCTGGTTGCTGCTAGCTGAGGACCTCCCTCCTTGCAGCAATTTCTGCTGGCAACACTTCATTGCATTTCCCTGCATTTAATCCCATCTCCACCACTCCCACCTTCAAGGTAGCCCAGTTCTCTATTCTTCTGTATTTCAAAACCTTCCCAATTTGTCTCATTAGCAATTTACACTCTTTCCTATGCCATCTTGCTAGTGAAAATATGGAAGATCAATCCTCATATAGAGGCTCAAGGATTTTGTCCTCCAGCCCAACTGATCTTGTAAAATATCAACACCCCATTAATACCTGTCTTAGCTTTCTTGGACTGGCCCCCACCTGATAACCTGAACCTGGTTGTGGTTCCATCCCAGCAGTTTGGCCAAGTTCCAGATGCAGTGTTCCTAGCCTTTCCTCTTTTAGAAAACAAGTACACTGATGTGTAAGGCTATTTTAGCACAGTCAACATTTGGAAAATACTGCACTTTTGGAGAAAGTACTCAAGTATGAAAGCACTCTAGGAAGAAAACTTTCCTTTTTCTAGCCTAATACTGTCAAGAGTTTGGTGCCTATGCCTAGACTTTGATATAGTATTTTGAGGCTGGCATTTCTGCAGATATTGCACTTACATTTGCATTTCATTTCTCCTCCCCTCGCATATTCCTTTACTGATCTCCCCATCCCTTTGCCATCACTTCAGGCTGGGAAAGGTAGGAGAGCTGTGGCAAGATGGACACTCCTGCCAAACTCAGGTGCTTGAGAATAAAGTTTTATCTTCAAGGCACTTCCATAACTGGGTGAGTCTGGGCAGGGAGCCTGCCTGGGTGGCTGGAAGGACCACTTGCCCATTGGGCTGTCCCTCAGCTCTCTGTGCCAGGAGAAGGCGGCACTCTGACTTCTGTGAGAAACGGGGATTGATCCTGCCTGACATTTTGATTAAACAACAAGATTTATTTAAAAATGAAGTCAGCAAATGCTGAAAGGATTAAAAACTGGTTGCGTTGTGTCTCCAAAAGTAAATGG